GTTGACTATAAATAACCGAAACTGTTTACTCGCTTCAAATGCTTTTGAATGTCTTATTTTCGAGCCACGTTATATTAACAAAATCCCTTTCAAAAAAAAAAAAAACTTGAGCATCATTTTTTTTTTTTTAAACAAAAATTTAATTTATTTTTTCACTGATTTAAAAAAATTTATTTGTCTTTTTTCCCTATGGCTCTGACAAAATAATTTTTTTTTTCTTTAAATCAAAGAAATTTTTTATTAAATTTCTTTTTTTTCCAAAAGGCGGATTTTTTTTTAACAAATTCAGCTCTGATATTTTACCAGTATTTTTGATAAAAAATTTCTGACTTTTTCCTGAATTCTCTAATTTTCCTGACCTGAGGCAATTTTTAAAAAAAATTGCGATTTTTGTCTGAGCTGATGGAAAAAAATTGGATTCTAAAAAAAATATTATTTGACGAAAGATTTTTAAGGCGATTCAACGCCCTTGACATAACCTCAAATTAAAAATTGATTTTATCACTAAATAAAGCTATAATTAAATAATTAATTTTATATTAAATTCTAAAAGAATTGTACGATTTAACACAAAATTAATTTCAACTAAAATAAATTTTACTAATTTTCCAAAAATCCAATTGTACAATTTAAAAAATAAATATTATGCTATAATTTATTGTCAAATAATAATTATTTAACATTTGTTTTAAGTTAATGAACAATATATTAAAATTTTTATCCAATTTTATTTAAAAAAAAATTTAGATCATTTTGTTCTTTAAAAGATTCTCTACAATATTCTGCAAGTTTTTTTTGTTGAATAATATTATTTGGTTTAAAAAATAGGTTTAAAAAACAAAAATTTTATTTGTTTAATAACTAAAAATCTGAAGTATACGTAACGTTTATGATAAACGATTTTTAAAGAAATAATTTTTTAAAATGAAAAATTTTACAATTTTTTGCTAAAAAAAATATTTTTTTTTATAATTTATTGATTAATGAAAACTACAAGAAATATTTTTTAGGCAAAAAATTATAGAATTTTTCATTTTAAAAAATTATTTCTTTGAAAATCGTTTATCATAAATGTTGCCTACTACAGTTTCGTTAATAACTTTTGAACAAAATATTCTTAACAAAATTTCAACAAAAAGAAAAAAACAACAAACAAAAAAAGAAAAGTTGGTGATAAAAAATTATAATTATTTACTAACTATAAATAAAAAAAAAATTAAAAGCGCAAAAATGTTAAATAATTATTGTTTAACAACAAATTTTAGCTTTAGGGAAGGTGATCGCTCTGAAATTTTCGTTGTTATTTGGGCAACAATTTTTTTCTTAACATTGTTTAGGATCAAAAAATGTTTTACGTTATCAACTCTCTAAATCTAAATTAGTAAAAAAGTTTACTAATTTGAATTAGTGACTCACTTTTTGCTTCTCAATTAGTAAAATTTTACTAATTAATAATTATATTATTAGTAACTTTTACTAACAATTACTAATTTGACTAATTAATAATTATATTATTAGTAACTTTTACTAACAATTACTAAAATTTTACTAATTCAGAAGCAATAAGTGAGTCACTAATTAAAATTAGTAAACATTTTTACTAATTCAGATTTAGAGAGTAAGGTCGAAAAATAAATTAACATTCCTAAACAAGAATTTTTTTTTTTGGGGGGGGTGATTCGAAAACTGTGACTTTAAAAAAAAAAAAAGTTGTTAAAAAGATAAAAAAAATTTTGGGCAGAAAATATAAATGTTCTCTTAGTTTCTGTTCTAAACTTGTAACTTTTAAGAAGCTTTGGGGGGGGGGAGGGGCGATTGACCCCCTCGTCCCACTGTAGATCCGAGCCTGTTATCAGTTAACTTAATTTATAGGTTATGGTGCAATTTTTTGTAAATTTCTACAAACTATAATATTCAATTAAACAAATATTATTGATTTTTCAGTTATTTTTAATTAGTTATATTTTTCACTAATATTTAGTTATTTTTTTTACTTTAATTGCTAAATAAAAAAAAAGTCGTGCAAAGCATTACGAACTAAAATATATACAATTTACAAATTAAAATCTACAATTTAAAAACTGAAATCTACAATTTACAAACTAAAATCTAAAATTTACAAACTAAATGCCTCCAATTTACAAACTAAAATTATTTTTAACTAAATTAAATTTAAAGAATATTATTTTTTATATACTAAAAGCAAAATTTATTGTCATTAAGACTTTTCTTGTTAAAATATGATTAATAGCATATTGTTATCATATGTCATTTACATATAACGAAATTCCAATTTCTAATATATATATATATATATATATATACATATCACGTCAATTGACAAATATGCCAGATATATAAATTGATCATTATGATCGTAAATAATGAGAAAATATTATATTAGTGATTTTATCGATCAATTTTATAAAAAAAAAAATTTATTATTTATTTCTATAAATATATTACATTTAAAATAATGATGGCTTTCTTATTTCCAAGGTCAATTAATCGAGTTCGATGCCATCCGCAAGCAGACACACGGTTTTGCACGTGCTCACATATATATACATGTATATATCTCTAATCTTACAGAGAAAATATGTCTCTGCTAACATATATAACATATATCTAGGTACATTGCCGTGTGTATAATTATTTCCATACTGCTTGATTTATGTATTCATAAAAAAAAATAAATAAAATAAATAAAAAAATTTTAGCCAAAAAAAAAAGTAAAAATATTAATAAATCCATTCGTCAGGCATAAATAAAAAAATAATTCTGATATAATAAATCATCCATGTTTGGCACTAACATTTCTATAATTTTATATATATATTTACATTTCATCAACTTTCAGGACAATAAAATATCTGCTATTCTAGAAAATATTATACACTGATAGTGTATAAATAATCTATATCTTCTATCAAAAGTTATTAAAAATTTTAATTGACTCCAAAATCTAAATTGTATTTCTATACATGGAAAGAAAATAAATATCAAATTTTTTAAAAGTATTTTCTTGGAAAATTTGTTGGTAAAAAGCGAAATTTCCAAATTTACGAAATAATAATACTAATCTAAACTTTTTATAAAAAACTAGCGCCTCCGACGGCCTTTGGCCGTCACTGTTGCTTCTATTCTTTGTCCATTTAATTTAATTTTTAATTTATGTTTCATAATTTATTAGAATTATTTTATTAAATATTTAATAATATTGTTAACAAAATGCAAAAAAGGCATGTAATTATAGAGAAAGTTTCAAAGAGAAAAATAATAATCTATTATATTTGTAAAATTTGTCTAAAAATAATAATAATTGTTGAATAATTTTTTTTTTTGAAACTAAAAACACTTTTTTATTCAAGGTAATATTATTTTCATAATAATTTAATTTATTACAATTATTTTATTATAATTTAATAAATTTCATTATTTTAAAAAAGCGCGCGCTATTTTGTCTTGCGGGCCATTGAAGTGATTTAAACTAAATGTAGGTTATGTTCGTGTCTGATTCATGACAGCTGCAAAGTATTTACAACAAATAAATACTTTGCAAGTGTATATTTATTGCAAATAAGTAAATTATGCAAAATATATCTGTGGAACAATAATTTACAGTCATTTTTATAAAATGAATATTGATTTAGATGCTATGGAAAGCAAAGTTCTTTTTTTCTTACATTCGATTTTTTCGACCATTGATATATTTCGTTTCATTTTCATGTGCTTTGCATGCACTGTCTTTTTTAAGAAAGGATAGTTATAGAGTAAGTGTACCAATTACGGCGCGTTCATAAAAAAAACTATTATTACAATTATATTTAATATATTAAAGTTGTTAAAATTTATCAATCTTCCAAGTCAATTGGCGATTCAAACAGCTACACTAGCGCCACAGTTGAACTAATTTAGGCGTGACTCGCTCTGTAGCACTCCATGTGTTTTAAATTATTTTTTTTTATTTAACGCTTAAAAATAATTTTACAAACGCAATAAAAATATCAGAATAATTAAATAATTTGAAATAAACTGTCAAAACAGAGACTGCTTTAGAGCGAGTCACGCTTAAATTAGTTCAACTGTGGCGCTAGTGTAGCTGTTTGAATCGCCAATTGTAATATTTGAAAAAAGGAAAATAAAAAATAAAAAACGATCCCTTTTCTTAACGTTTCGACAGCACAGCTGTCCTCATCAGAAACGAAAAAAAGTCTGTGACTTCTGTTCAATGTTCAGTGACAAACTAATTTTGTAATTTTTTATTTTCCTTTTTTCAAATATTACAATTGACTTGGAAGATTGATAAATTTTAACAACTTTAATATACACTCACCAAGTGATAAATTCAATATTATTGAAATATAAATTTAATATAACTGTTGTCAAATGATTAAAAAAAAATTATTTCAATCTTTTTATGATACAATTACTTATAAAGATGCCCATTTAAACAATTAATAATTTAATTATTTGAGATCAAATTTTTTCCCTCGCCGTAATTGAAACATTTTTAAGATTTTCATTGGCTTCAATTTCGGTGGGCAAAGTATCTTCAAAATACACATAATTTTATTCACCGAAATTGGTTTAAATAATCGATTTTTATAAAGTTAAATTTTTTTTTTAATATCTAAATAACATAACCTTTTAGTTTACTAAGTCTTAAATTGACTTTATATAATTATGTCAAATTCTCTATTTCACAGGTGTTTTGACTCGAATCGAGCCGCAATTGGTGCATTTACTCTATTAAAATTTGGTTTATTTTATTTCTCTATTAATTGATTTAAAACAATTTTTATTGATATTTAATTTTGTAAATAAAAACCCACCCTTTTTTAAAAAAAAAATAGAGAGTAAATCTCTCCTAAAATGTTATTGAAAAAAAAAAGATTTTTTAGAAATTTATTTTTTTCTATAATTTATACCTAAAAAGCATTAATTCTTTTCTTCTGGAATCGAAGATTGTATTATAACCAAGATGATGTATTACGTACGCTTGTATTCGATGATTCTTAAGGTGACGTAATTCAGCGTCCGTACACCTGTTGGTAGTAGCGAGCTATGTAATGATCTTCTTGTCGTCTCATCAACAATATTACCCAGGCTCATAAAGAACTATGCGTCAACCTTGACACCTCGAGCGATGCAAACACATACACACTCACACACACACACAATATTCAATCCACGTGGAACAACACATATCCTCCTCATTAAACTATTAAAATATGCACTATTTTTTTTTCCCTCCAAAAATAAACACCAATTTTCCACTTAACACACACGAAACTACACTTTTCGTAATACTAACCTAAACACCAACCAACTTCCTCACTTCAACTACCCATTTTCTTTTTTAAAAAAAAAAAAAAAAAAAAAAAAAAAAAACACACAGGGTTAAGAACCTAAAAATGTTTCAATTAAGAAAGGAAAAGAAACTTTTCAAGGTTATAGGAATTTTGAAGATTGGAAAGAAGCCGGTAGTTTTTTTTTTTTTTTTTTTTTTTATTGTATAAACCGACGCGACTGCTCGAGATCTCTATAAATCCGACACACAACGGACGAACGAACGTGTACGCAAAACCCGAGCAAAAGCAAAGCCTCGCTCGGTGAACAGCCCGCGGCCCCCACGTTGTTTGTCTCGCGGAGTGGCCTGTTTACATGTTGACTCTCTGTTTACGCGTTTCGTCCATCTCTCTCCCCACCCCATCCCCTTCTCACCCACGTTTCGCGAGAGCCGCGTTACCACTTCCTCTTCTCTTTGTCCCTCTTGTTTGAAACATGACGCGCTTTCCTTGTCGCATATGTATATATATATATATATATATATATATTGGTGCTTCTCACTTCCACCCATGACCCCGTCGCGCGTTAAGATCGGACTGTTCTCTCTCTCTTTTTCTTTCTTTCATTCTATTTGCCACACGTATGTTATATATATATATATATATATATATGTCGAGACTATATCAAACTGAAGTTCACGACAAAGAAATATATATGAAAAATAAATATAGTTATAGCAAGTATTAAAGAAGGAAGCAGATTCTTAAATCGTGGGAATCAAAAAGTTCACTATCTTTACCTTGTAGTCAATGTTATGACATCCTGGATTTTTTTTTATAAGGAATTTTTTAAATTTTATTTTCTATATTATTTTTCTTTTTTATAGGATCTAAAATTTGGTATGTTAGAAAATTTTTATTTGCACTCAAAAAAAAAAAATTCATGGTAAATTTGACTAAATTTTAACTATTTCTCCTAGTTCCAGGAGGCGCATCACAGTTTTCTTGTGTGTATCAAATTGATACAAGAATTAAGATCAACTCATGGAACGTTTTCAATCAATATAAGGTATCAAATTGATCCAAATATTTGGATCATTTTCAAGAAATGATCCAGAATATGGAATCATTTTTTGATACCTGAATTGGTATCAAAGGGTGTTTTCGGCATTCACTCAGAGTTAACTCTAGAGTTAACAGTGGTGCTCAATGATATTATCTTTGAAAATTTATTTACCTAAATAAAATAATTGATTTTCTATTTTCATCACCCTGAGTTTGAAGTTAGTTGTCCTTGTTTGCTTACTTTTTTTAATTTATACGTATTTTTTGTTTTTCATTTAAAAATGGAACATATTTTTGCTACCCATAAACGTGTTATTTTTTTAAAGTTTATAGTTTTCAAATTTTTCATTATTTCCCTAACTTTAATTAATCTGAATTGTTTAAGGAACTAGATTATTTATTTTAATTAAAGTTGTTTTTTATAAATAAAAAGTTAAAATAATTTTTAATAAAAATAAATTATTATGTTTCAATTTACACTTTTCAAAACAAACAATCCGTTCACAAATTTTGTCGGCCATTAAAGGTTAGGACTGACCCTTTTTCTTTACTCTCGCAAGAAAACAGAGTTAACTCTGGGTCATCTTGTAATAAATTTTTGGGGACTTTTATGAAATCTAGAAACAAAAAATTTTATTTTAACATTGCATTACTAGAATAAAAGGCCCGTTTCACATGTTGTTACAATTGCAAACCCTGCGCCAATCAAAATGAATCGTCTATGCCAAATTGCCAATCAACAACGTTCACAACCAACAGACGAACTGAAAATCAAAATTTACATTTGAGCACCACTGCTAACTCTAGAGTTAACTCTGAGTGAATGCCGAAAACACCCAAAGTATAACTGTCATGGCTGGCATGCTCTTATTGACAAGTTTATTAATTAATTTATTCACTGCACTGAATATTAAGATATTAAAAATACTTTTATTATGAATTTTAAGAAAGAGAGAAGCGAAAACTTATAAATTGCGAGCAATTAAATAAGAAAAAATTTATTTCGAAATAAAATGAAATACACTAACCTTTATTTATGTTTATCACATAAGATTTAAGGTTAAGTTCACAATCACAACACTTGAAAATTTTTAATTATTTTTATGGTTCAAATAATTATCTATAATTTATTTATTATAATTGAACAAAATTTAAGCAATGCACGCTTGATAAATATTTCTAATGCGTTGTCAATTAATGCAATTAATAATTTCCTATTACAGAATATCATAATCGACATATATGACATTTGTAAACAAACAGGGTTGGGAAACAAGAGCCCAAAATATGTTCGTCCAAAGCAGAGTTGGGTAGGATTCTGTTTTACGTTTAAGGTTAACGCACATGTAATTTTGAAATAGGGAAAAACTGAATAATTATTTTTTAATAGTTTTGTTAAAAATAATTTGAACTGTAAAAATAATGAAAAAAATTCAAATGTTGCGATCTTTGTTCAGACAAATGAAAATTCTATTAATTAGAAATTCTGATAAGAGTGTCGAACGTTGTCTTGATCAAAAACATGAATAACTATAGTCTGTTTCACGTTCACCTCTTAATTGCAATGTTTTAACTAATGAAATTTAATGTTAAAATGTTAAAATTAAATGTTTAATGCTAATTTAAATTTAATGTTTTAATCAAGGAAACTAAACTATACTTTTATAAACAGGTTGAGTACCTTTTCGTGATAACTGAGCGCTCATAGCGAGAATTTGGAAAATGCATACACTTTCTGAAAATTATTGTTGGACATAATTTCAATCCTACCCAACTCTGCTTTGGACGAACATATTTTGGGCTCTTGTTTCCCAACCCTGTTTGTTTACAAATGTCATATATGTCGATTATGATATTGTGTAATAGGAAATTATTAATTGCATTAATTGACAACGCATTAGAAATATTTATCAAGCGTGTATTGCTTAAATTTTGTTCATTTATAATAAATAAATTATTGATAATTATTTGAACCATAAAAATAATTAAAAATTTTCAAGTGTTGTGATTGTGAACTTAACTTAAATCTTATGTGATAAATATAAATAAAGATTAGTGTATTTCATTTTATTTCGAAATAAATTTTTTCTTATTTAATTGCTCGCAATTTATAAGTTTTCGCTTCTCTCTTTCTTAAAATTCATAATAAAAGTATTTTTAATATCTGAATATTCAGTGCAGTGAATAAATGAATTAATAAACTTGTCAATAAGAGCATGCCAGCCATGACAGTTATACTTTGATACCAATTCAGGTATCAAAAAATGATTCCATATTCTGGATCATTTCTTGAAAATGATCCAAATATTTGGATCAATTTGATACGTTATATCGAATCAAAACGTTGCATTCCAAAATGATACCATCAAGTTTACAGTGGCTATGAACAAACAATAGTTGAAACAACTATGTAAAAATTGTCAGATTAACTGTAAAGTATAGTAATAATTACCACTTTTACAGTAAATTTAACCAAATGAAGAAGTTATTTCAATGATTTTTTGTCAGTCACATTAACTGTTTCATTAGGTTTGCAGTTACTAATTTTCATGGTTCCAGGAAGCGCCTATTAACAAAAAGTAGTTGAGACAATTATGTAAAAACGGTTAAATCAATTGTAAAATTTAGTAAAAAAAACTATTCAAATAGTAAAATTATTATTATTAATATTGAGATCCATTTTTTCATCCTCTCCCCTACTTACTTTCGTTTATATATGCCTTATTATATTTAATTTCTACACTCTAAATCTGAATCAGTGAAAATTTCACTGAATTCAAATCAGTGGCTAAGTTTTCTTTAATTAACCAGTGGAATTTCACTGATTTACAGTGAATTTCAGTTTTTACTGATTCCCAGTGAAATTCCACTGGTCAATTAAAGAAAACTGAGCCACTGATTTGAATTCAGTGAAATTTTCACTGATTCAGATTTAGAGTGTATATACCTATAACAGAGAAAAATCTCGAAACACTGCGGGTATTGAACGTACGATCCTAACATTCGCAAGCCGACAACTTAACCAACATGAGAGAGAAAAGGATAAAAGATATTTCTATCCTTTTCCCTCTCATGTAAAAGCTTAAGATTTACGATTAGAGATTTTATTCTGCTTAGGCCTAATCATCTTCAAGACGCGATTAGATTTTATAGCTATATTGTGGTAGCTGCCTTATAAATAATTACTCTCGTGCAAGTTTAATATAATTTATTTAAATAAAATATTACAATATTATGAATTTATATTAAAAACTATTTGGCAAAATAGAATTCAAAAAATTTCATCCCTTGATTTACAGATAACAACCTAACCTATAAAAAACGTATACTCAAATTATGTTTGTCGCATCAATTTTAAGATTTCTAATATTGTTTTTAGAAATTTTACGTTTGTATCAGTTTCGGTGTATCAATTACGGTGAACAAAATTACGTGTATTTTGAAGATACTTTGCCCCATCGTAATTGATGCCAATGAAAATATTAAAAATGTTTCAATTACGTCGAAGGAAAAAATTTGATCGCAAATAATTAAATTAATAATTGTTTAAATGTGCATCTTTATTAGTAATTGTATCAAAAAAAGATTAAAATAATTTTTTTTTAATCATTTAGCAACAGTTATATTAAATATAATAGAAGTATTGGTTATTTTTTATGAACGCGCCGTAATTGATACACTTCCCCTAGTTATAAGAATTATAGTACCAATTGCTATCCCAAAAAAATAAACCCTAAAAGTAGAATTTCGAATAAAAAAAAAATTTCCTTTGTTAAAAAATCAGATACACATACTATATACATATAAATAATTAACAAAAATTATTGTTAATATCTCGTGATCTGTTCTCTTATTTATTTTCGAGGCATTTGGTTTTTTAATAGACAATTATGTACACATAATGCTTATAAAACACTATATCTCTGTCCATTCATTCTCTAATATGGATTATATTATACATTCAAGGTTAATTTGACCTTAAACTAACAGATAGATGTATATATATATATATATATATATACTATATATAATACTATAGTTGACGTAGCAAATAGGCATTATCGCGCACGAAAAAACTCAAAGAGTTTCTTAATAATTACTTTGTTAAACAGTTGACGGAGCGACAATCTTTAAATCATTATATATATAGACATGTTGATGATTAAATATACACTTGAAGAAACTTGAAATATATATAAGATTTTCAAAATATGTTTATGACGTGTATTAAAATATTGGACACATATAGTACTGTATATTGAAAAATGAATAACATACAGTGAAATTAAACAGAGAAAATAATAATGAAAGACAAATCGTATAAGAGAAAGATATATACA